AGTGGATCCTCCTATTATAACTGAGGTTGAACAACCTAATGAGCCAGTTGAGCAAATTCATGTTAGAAGGTCAGTAAGACAAAAGCGACCTGCTATCCCTGATGATTTTGTAGTTTATCTTAGTGAGGATGCTTATGATGTTGGTATTGTTATTGATCCTAAAAATTATCTAGAAGCTATTACTTGTTCTCAATCTAGCATGTGGACAGATGCAATGCATGATGAAATGAAATCCATGATAAATAATGATGTTTGGGAACTAGTGGAGTTACCAAGAAACTATAGAGCGATTGGATGCAGGTGGATATTCAAAACAAAGAAGGACTCGAAAGGTAAAATTGAGAGGTTTAAGGCAAGACTTGTGGCTAAAGGTTTCACACAAAAGGAGGGTATTGATTTTAATGAAACCTTTTCTCCTGTTTCCACTAAAGACTCTTTTAGAATCGTTATGGCCCTTGTGGCACATTTTGACTTAAAATTGCATCAGATGGATGTTAAGACTGCTTTTCTGAATGGTGATCTTAATGAGGAGGTGTACATGCAGCAACCAGAGGGTTTTGTAAAAGGTGGTGATGAGCACTTGGTTTGTAAATTAAGAAAATCTATTTATGGTTTGAAACAGGCTTCTAGACAATGGTACTTGAAATTTGATGAGGTGGTAACTTCATTGGGTTTTGAAGAAAATAAAGTTGATCAGTGCATCTATCTTAAGGTCAGTGGGAGCAAATTCATCTTTCTTGTGTTATATGTTGATGATATTTTGCTCGCAAGTAGTGATCTTGGTCTACTTCATGAGACCAAACTTATGCTAACCAAGTTCTTTGATATGAAGGACCTTGGTGAAGCATCTTTTGTATTGGGAATTGAAATACACAGAGATAGATCACGTGGTGTGCTTGGCTTGTCACAGAGAGCTTATATTGATAGAGTTCTAGAGAGATTTAATATGCAGAACTGTAAGCCAGGAGATGTTCCAATTACTAAAGGAGACAAATTCAGTAAAGATCAATGTCCTAAAAATGAGATTGAGCGGGCAGAGATGAAGGGAAAACCCTTTGACAGTGCATTGGGCAGCCTGATGTATGCTCAAGTATGCACTAGGCCTGACATTGCTTTCATAGTTGGCGTCTTGGGACGATACCAGTCTAATCCTGGGAATGATCATTGGATTGCGGCTAAGAAAGTGATGAGATATTTGCAAAGAACTAAAGATTGTATGCTTGTTTTTAGGAGAGTTGACAACTTGGAAATAGTTGGGTATACTGACTCTGATCTTGCTGGGTGTGTTGATGATAGAAAATCTACTTCTGGTTACATTTTTATGTTGGCTGGAGGCGCGATATCATGGAAGAGTAAAAAGCAAACTCTTGTCGCCTCTTCTACTATGCAGGCAGAGTTTGTTGCTTGTTATGTTGTTGCCACTCATGCTGTTTGGTTAAGAAATTTAGTAACTGGACTTCGTATTGTTGATTCCATTGCAAAGCCACTAAAGCTTTACTGTGATAATAGTTCAGTTGTGTTCTACTCCAAGAATAATAAAACTTCTAGCGGTTCTAAGCATTTGGAATTGAAGTATTTAACAGTCAGAGATCTTGTAAAGAAAAATGACATTGTTGTTGAGTACATTGGTACTGATTTCATGCTAGCTGATCCCCTAACTAAGAGACTTAGACCCATTGTGTTCAAAAACCATGTTGAGAACATGGGCATTGTGAGTTCTTTTGATGTACTTGGTTAGTGGGAGTTTGTTCTTTATGTCATTTTCTTTTATCATGTTATATTTTATTTTAGACACTTTAAATGTTGGATTGTCGAGTATTTTCTATTTTAAGCAATTGATATTACAATGATTATTATTATTATTATTATTATTATCATTTGTCATTGTTTATTTACATTTAAATTGCTAAATTTGGGACTCAGTGTCATCGAAACCATTGTGCCTATGGTCGACACTAGTTTGGAGTTCAAGGCATGGTTATTATTTTGAGCTCGGTGTCTTCGGGACCACTGTACCGGTGGTTGATACCATATTGGAGCTGAAGTATGATTTTAAGCTCGGCGTTGTCAGGACCACTGTGCCGGTGGTCGACGCCATGTTGGAGCTGAGGCATTATGGTTTGTAAAACCATACAATTTCTTTGTGTTTAATGCATTTGAGAGAAATTGTTAAGGACTGACGAAGAAAATAGCAAATGGTTGTTGGATCACATTAGCATGTTATTTTCTTGTCACACTCCACACTGATGACTAGTTGACGGAGTATGTAGTATTTGTAACCACGAAAGGTTTTATGTCAATGAAGGACATAATAATTGTCGTGATTCAATACTGCTTAACTTTTGTTGGATGGAGTCATATTCAGATACTGCACCTGGAATCATGGATTTCCTTAAAATGCGGCCGCATTTTAAGGAATTAGTCATTAACCCGAGAGTCGTTTTCAAAATGTATTTTAAAATAAAAATCATACAATTGATTTTGCCCAAGTGGGAGAATGTTAGATGTATCTAATATTTTATGGGCTACAATCAATTGTGGTTTAATTTGTAAAAAACGGGTTAATCGTGATTCTGATGGGGGTGCATATATAAGCCCTTTAATTGATTAAGTGATCAATTTTTAATTAATGGTTGAGAATCTGAAACCTGATTGGTGTGGGTAAAAGTGTGGGCTTTAACCTTGGGCCCATAATGGGTAGGGACTAAGGTTATATATATTATATGGCTAGGTCCCCTCTGTAATCACAAAAAGCATCAGAAACATAACTGACGGCTCCATAACTTGCCCCATTGAAAGTTGTGAACGGGAGTGTGAGATACAGAGGAAGATCTGGTCATTCATCCATTCGGAATTCTGAATCATGACTTCAACAAGTATTGATGTTTTAATCTCATATAATATCCATGAATATTTCCGCTTACAATCTAATCACACAAAAAAACCTGAAAGAAGTGTATATTTGGGTGCATGTTTAGAGCATTTAGAATTAATTTTGAATGTTTTAAATGTATCCTCATCAGTGACCGGTGGGAATGATATTATTAAATTAGTAGATCGCTTGAATATCAAGTTTTTAATATATATATATATATATATATATATATATATATATATATATATATATATATATATATATATATATATATATATATATATATATATATATATATATATATATTTTTGTTCTTTACGAGAATTGATTATGTTATGAAGAATTGATTTTTAATTGAAGATAAGATTTGTAGCTTTTGAATTTTAACATGATTTTTACACTGAAATTTATTATTCAACTTGCTTTTACAAAAATGTATTTAAACATAAATTACATCATATTTAAACATAAATGGACAGTCAATTCATATGAAAAGCCCAAAGATCAAACTCTCGTCATGAAAAATAAATGAGGCAGTTGTAAAACAAGAATTATATCAAAGAAATGCAAGCAGTGAATTTGTGTACAGGCTGGACAGCTTCAAGTACACCAAAAAAAGAGCAGTAAGTTTTGGCATTTCAGCCATTGATGAATTTCACTTACAGTCCCAAAAGCAGCAACAAGACTTAAAGGTCTTTTAAATGCAACCATATGAGGGCAAGTTTCTTCCGTTTGAGGACTTACGAGGCAATTAGCATACAAGTGATGCCGAGCAATTGAAGTTTCTGTCTTTCAATGAAACTTTTTGAGAGAAACCAATCCATGAGATATACAGCAAGGTAAAGAGTGTTTGCTTGCAATTTGTATCCTTCAGAAACCTGTAAATGAAGCTCAACACAAGGAATTCAGTGCATTATTCATATTTTATCAACTGATAAGTTATATCATAGTATCTACTAAACATTAAAATCAACCACTTTATATGAGTCAATATTGGAAAGTCAAATAATGCAAACCTCTACAAGTCAATCGACCAATATCCCGCGCATACTAGGAGTGATATCTCGCTGTACTGTTTCCATTAAATTAGGATTAGGCCTTCTCGACAGCTGAAAAATGAAATGTGAATATTTGTTTTACCATTTATCAAGCATTTTATAAAGTTCACAACTATGTGCCACTAGACAACAATGACAGGGCATTAACGGGACAAACCTCAGCAACACGCATGTGGTCGTATATATCAGCAGCATAGAGGCTGCAAAGTTGAGCAACAGTTTGTGAAGCTAAGACCGAAAATAATCACAAGTTACATCAACAAACTAAAAAGCTATTAAAGCTATTGAATTATTCTATGGTGGTACTAAAGCAATGCACAAACCATGTGCGACAAAAATAGAGGAAAAACCTTTCTTTTCAGAAACAGAAAGCTGAGAAGATACTCGAGATGTCTGACTGTGAAGCAGATTGTTATTTGTACGACAATGATCGGCAGTCAGCCTAATTGGTACATTGTCTTCCAACTTAATCGAACACATGACATCTTCTGATGATTTAAGCCACATTTCTCGTAATTTCATCTGTTTTGAGTCAGCATCATCTGTTTTGAGTCAGCAGCAATAGCACCTGATGGAACCTCTTTCGAAACATCGGGTTGAGCTTTTCTTAGCCTAGCAGACATAAATGTTACAGGGTAAAGTATTGGAACGCCAAGGACTTCAACACTAGAGTTGAAATAAGTAAAAATGTATTCATTAAAAAAAAGTAATTCAAATTGAATTGATCAAAACGTTCGGTTTATATATCTTTTAACTTAAAAGATCCAAATTTATCATTGAATCACCCACATTCCCACATTCATTTTCTTGCTCCATAGTAGGACAAGACCATATCACTATAATACAAATCATTTTAAAACATGCTATACAAAAGAATCTACCTCTTTTTGATGATTTTAAAATGTTGACGTAAATCGTAAAATATAAATAACCAAAATAGTTTAACTCAAAACCAAAGTAATATTGTCAAAAACATTAAATATTGTCAAAAACATTAAAAGATGCAGCATAAACTGAAGCACAAAACATCTTTGTAGGAAACTAGTCTCAATTAAAAACAAAAGTCATCAAGCAGCAGCCTTGCCCTTCTTCTTCTGGAGCTTCTTCATGTAAAATTCCAACTCCCTACCTTCCAAAATGTAGCTGAACAATACAGAAAAAAGGTAAGAACAAAGCAAATACAGATTGATCAATAAAACCAACTCAGCAACATCATTAATAAAATAATTACCCATCGGCTCTTCCACATTGACCAGGTCGGGAGGAAATGCACGCAAGCAGCCTTCCACCGCCAAACTGCTCTTCAATGTGTGGATCCAGCTGATGATCCTTCTGTCGTTGTTCTAATTTCCTCTGAACATGGCTACTCTTTTTAACTTCCTCAGTAACAGCTTCAGCCTCCTAAAAATTAAAAGAAAAAAAAATCAGAATAATAGGATTACTTATGTGGAACACAAAAGAGTTGACAAAAATACTACCTCAGATTCTTTCTTGCCAGCAGTTTTCTTTTTCTTTCCAATTTCAACTCCATAGTGTTGAAGGTACCACTGCTTGAAAGGAGCTGCATCAACCTGAACAATGGCACTCTTCACAAGGGTCTGAGTACGCACAAGCTCATTGTTGGAAGCATTGTAAACCACGTCAAGGAGACGGGTTTTACGGGTCACCGTTTCACTTGGCCAGGAAAAGTTTCCAGTGTCCAACCTCAGAGCCCTCCATTTAACATTACCACCACGGACACGGATTCTCCTTATGGTCTTGTTGCTTGAAAGCTTGGTGTTAGCTGACTGACGACCGAGCTCGTATCTAAATAACACCAATATAACTCGGTTATTAAAACAATCACGGCAATATTAATTGAAACCACGATAAATCAAATTTAACAAAAACAGATATTATAACAAGAGTTTAACATGAACCTAGACGATAGGTATGATGAAAAAGTGATTACAATGACATTGATTTCAATGTTTTGTCCTAATTTACATTAAATTATAAGAATTTAGATGAACACAGCAAATTAGAAGCAAAAACAAAAATCAAAACGATTAAACATTGAGCAATAAGAGTAAACAGATAGAAGGCTCACTTTCTCTTCTTCCTCCATGCCTTCTTCTTTCCTCCCGTCTCTCGCCTCTTGTGCATCGAATCCCTTGAAATACCTGAGATTCAAAACAACAAAATCATAGAATTCCATTAGAGAAATTACATAGCTAAGTAGTTAATTGGCGCTTAAGAATGAACGAAGATGTTATTCGATGTTATAGAAGGAACATACCCATGATGAAAAACCTGGTGAAACGAAGCGCAGTCCTTGGTGAAACGAAGCGCAGTCCTCTTCTCTCTGCTTCACTCAGTGATGTTTTGAACCCTAATGTATGGTTTAATATATTTACGGGCCTGAAACAAAGTCCAATTTACTTTTTTGGATATAAAAAATCACAAAACTATATATATAAAAAATCACAGCTCTAATATATACAAAGTCCAATTTACGCATAGCAAAGTACTTAAAGGCGAGACATTAACCACTGGGGTGACTATACATCTATTATATAACCAGTAAAATATATGACGAGAATTTATTATGTTATGAAGAATTGATTTTTAATTGAACATAAAATGTGTAGCTTTTGAGTTTTATCATGATTTTTACAGTAAAATTTATTATTTAGCTCTAATATATACAAAGCCCAATTTACGCATGAAGCATGCAAATGATGCCGAGCAATTGAAGTTTTTGTCTTTCAATAAAACTTTTTGAGAGAAACCAATCCATAAGATATACAGCGAGGTAAAGAGTGTTTGCTTGCAATTTGTATCCTTCAGAAACCTTTAAATGAAGCTCAACACAAGGAATTCAGTGCATTATTCATATTTTATCAACTGATAAGTTATATCATAGTATCTACTAAACATTAAAATCAACCACTTTATATGAGTCAATATTGGAAAGTCAAATAATGCAAACCTCTACAAGCCAATCGACCAGTATCTCGCGCATACTAGGAGTGATATCTCGCTGTACTGTTTCCATTAAATTAGGATTAGGCCTTCTCGACAGCTGAAAATGAAATGATAGAAAAAAAAAGCAAAATCAAAGCATGCTTCAGGCGAATATTTGTTTTACCATTTATCAACGTTTTATAAAGTTCACAACTATGTGCCACTAGACAACAATGATAGGGCATTAACGGGACAAACCTCAGCAACACGCATGTGGTCGTATATATCAGCAGCATAGAGGCTGCAAAGTTGAGCAACAGTTTGTGAAGCTAAGACCGAAAATAATCACAAGCTACATCAACAAACTAAAAAGCTATTGAATTATTCTATGGTGGTACTAAAGCAAGCATGTGCGACAAAAATAGAGGAAAAACCTTTCTTTTCAGAAACAGAAAGCTGAGAAGATACTCGAGATGTCTGACTGTGAAGCGAATGTTATTTGTACGACAATGATCGGCAATCAGCCTAAGTGGTACATTATCTTCCAACTTAACCGAACACATGACATCTTCTGATGATTTAAGCCGCATTTCTCGTAATTTCATCTGTTTTGAGTCAGCAGCAATAGCACCTGATGAAACCTCTTTCGAAACATCGGGTTGAGCTGATTTAGTCAGCTTTCTTTTCTTAGCCTATCAGACATAGATGTTACAGGGTAAAGTCTTGGAATCGTCATTAATGTTGAAATATGAATTAACCAATATATTACAAGACCAAAATAAGAACCATTAGACAGGTTGAAATAAGGATCTGAGTTTTAGTTGGTACGCCAAGGACTTCACTAGAGTTGAAGTAAGTAAAAATGTATTCATTAAAAAATGTATAAAGCCACCCAGTAAAACATATACCATAAGAGGCGTTTTCTGGGAAGGATTTTGTGGGCAAGACATGTCAAAATGCTAAAAACGATTTGATTCAATTCTCACTTAAATCTCAATCATTTTCAATGAAATTTAAACCAAACCCGCTTGATTTTTTATGAGGAAGAGCATGGTGTCAACCAAAATTTAAAATAATGCCCACAACTTAAAACACGATGGAACATGCTAGCTATGAGTTTGAAATGCCTTTTGCAACTTATGGATTAAAATAGGTGCAAACAAGAACATGTAAGAGTCTGAGCAAGTTGTAAACATGGTTTTGAATGAGTTTCAGCAAAAGATTTGTTCAAAAAGACTTTAGAGCACAAAGTTGGTATATGAATTGCAATTAATGATCATGAGGTGAAACCAAAACAAAAGGATCAAAATAAATGAATTCAAAAGAGAACAAAAGTCTGGTTATATTGGAGATGTACTTCTTATGATCATGTTCAAAGGGATGTGCTTAATTCTCACTGGACCACAAGGCAATCCTCAAGCTGCAATCTTAAATGAGATTGGCTTTTGAATAAGCTTTATGTCACCTTACAAAACAACCAGAAACTCATAGTTCTCCAAAACAACCAGAAACTCATAGCTTTCCTCTTTCCCTTTTTGCTTGTAAGTGAAGAAAAACACCAATTTCACCACTTTGCATTTTTCACACCAGTTATTGTTTCCAATCTAAAAACAGTTCAAAGACCATATACGTGCCCTAGAAATGATCATTTGAAGTTGTTCCTACCATTGGTTTCCTAAAAAAAACACTTAGAACAAAGAGTCAACTTTTCATACACCTCACTTTGACTTTTATGCATTCTTCACACTAGATCATTGCACAAACCATTTCTTACCATCACAACCCTTGGAATACTTCATATGATGTATTAGTTGTTCATAGTCTCAAACAACAGCTAGAATCTCATTTGCTCCAACTGTCCATTAAGGTTGCTTATTTCTTCAAAAGGAAGTAACCTTCATAAGTGTGCTCAAAAGGAAGGATCTCTGGTTTTCTTTTGCTGCTAGCATAGTGAGGACTGCAAGAGGTATGTTATTTTGAACTCATTCACTAGTATGCATCATCATGTGTTATTTTGGTGGTTGAGATTAGTTTGTACATTGTCATGTTGAAGTTTGTTAAATATGTTGTCAAAATATATGAGACCAATAACATGTGCATTTGCTATCAGAATGTCATTAAGGTGGTTTGTGAATGTTTTTACCTTTGTGAAGGTATGTTGTTTGGATACATGATGAGTTTAGACTCTTGGCATTGTTATGTCAATTTAACTACCAAAACTGTTTAAAAACTGTCAATAAGAGAGGCTTAGGTTAGATGCTTTGATATTGAACATTGTTATGTTTGAAGTTAGATTGGATTTGTCTAGGTTATTGTGGTTTACAGCAAGCCTGTCATTTGAGTTTTTGATTGAAGACTGCTGTTAGAGGTTGCATCCATCGCCTCTATTGATGACTAGAGTCAGTGACCCCTCATGTAGCTTGCATCTAGCCTTGAATTAATATCAGGTTCTTGGTGCTGGTTTAGTATCTCTAGGCTGTTTGAGTTTGGCCTCATTTGGATTTTGGTTTTCAGGCCATATTTCACTGCTGCCTAGGCCTGAGCTTGAGATATGAGTTTGTTAACTCAGATGTGGTTTTCTAGCAGGTGTTAGGAATTCAGGTCTGCTGTAGGAATTAGTGTTAGGCCTGCAGGATATCTAGAGTTGCTAACTCTTCATTTTAGTCTGCATTCCTTTTAGACTTGGCATTGTAATGCCAACCTCTTTGGTTTTGTTTAGGTTTGGATGCAGTTGGTCGGCTGATTTGTTGAACTTTCACTTGATGCACATTTGGTGTAGTTTAGCATTCAACGTGTGCATAGGACTATCATTGGAGCTTCATGTTTACATAGGGGTTGCTAATTTTCATTTGTGGCAAGATTGTGATCAGGTTTGTGATAATGAGGATTCTGGACTGTTCAACCTTTGAGAGCAGTTTTTGCTGATGTGACTGTTTGGTGAACTAGAATTGGTTAGCAAGTAAAAACTGCCCAGAGCTTTAACAATTTAGAGCTGCTGTTTTGTTTGATGGTTTGTATTGCCTCAAGTTGGTAGCAGTTTTAATGTTTGAATATGTTATAACCAAGATTGTCTCCATCATTTGTAGCATTGGCAACTGTTATGTTGAATTGTTGTTTTTAAGTGGATTTGTCTAGCATTTAGAGTTTGTGCATATGACTGGCATTAAAGTTCATATGTAAGGTTGTCATCATGATTGGTGTTAAAGATGGATCTGTTAACTTTTTTTGAATACTTAGAGTGGTAACTCTTTGTGTTGGTGCATCCATTTAGGCTTGATATTATAGTGCCAGGACCTTGTTTTTGTTTAAGTGCTAGTTCATTACCTTTGATTTGTGACTTTAGGCTGCTAGGCTTTGGGGAGAATTATCACAAGTAAGCTAGTTAAGGCTAGAGGGTTAAAATCAGTAGAGTCCCTGTTAGTATGCTCTTATGAGAGAGAGTTGCTGCTATGATTCTTGACAGATTGGGGCTTTATCTTTGTTGACACATTGACTTTGCTGCTATAATTGTTGTTCAGCTGAGTTGTTAGGAGTGTTAGTTTGTTTTCTTGTCAGATTTGCTTTTAATCTCTAGAACTTACTCAGATCTGCCTCATGTCTTGGTAAGGATGTTTGGATTACAAGACTTACACCTTCACTTTGTGTAGTTTTGGAACAATTTTGTTTGCTTTTGGCATGTGGTTTAGGTTGTAACCTTTTATCCATGGTTATTATTGGTTTGTCAAAACTCATGTTTAGCTGTTGCTAAAGGTGGTTTCACATGATAAGAGATTGTTTATTGTTGGTTTCCATCTGAGGAGTGTGGTTTGAATTAGAGTTGGATAGCAAGTGGAGGACTGTCTTGAGGATTTAAGATTGTTGTGTGCTTTAGTACTTATTAGATATTTGGAAGGCAGTTGCTTGTCTGACTGTTTGGGCTGAGTTTAAAGGTGTTTAGTATTGAGTTTATGTTGTTGTTTTAACCTTTAGTAGCCTGTTGGTGCTTTAGGTAGGTTGTTTGAGTTTAGGATTTTAAGACATGTGTGGAGCTGGTATCTGCATTATGGTGCCAAGTTTAGTCTTTGCTTCTGCTCTAAGCAAGACTGTTTGTTTTTTACATTGTTGAAAGTAGTTGATATTGCATTGTGCTAAGAGGTTGGTTTTGGAAGAACACATTTTCACCCACTTGCAGCTCACACATCATTTTCTTGGTCTGAGTTTTGTTGAGTAATTTTCTTGTTAGAACACATTCCATATCACATTTGAAGTTTGCTTAGACTCTCACTTGCTCTAGAATGCATCTGTTTTGGTTTTTTTGATTTCAAATGCATTTCAAGCATCCACATGGCACTTTCCT